TTGATAATTGCATTTAAAATGATTGTCTGTTATTTGGCATGGTTGGCGGCATCCGCTTCCGGATTTGCCTGTCACTGTGGCCAGACACAAGACGCCTGCGACTACAGAGGGACCATGGGTGGCTTGCGTTGCACCACTCACAGTTCCATCCACACAGACCATATCAATTGTATACCCGAAAGTATAAGACCTGGAGACATGTGGATGGGAGCCACGTTTCATCAACGTAGCCGGCGCACACTTTCACAGGCAAACACAAGCACGCTGAATTTGGGGAGTCAGTCGCACACAAGACAGTGGCTGCACGGTAGTGCGCTCCACACTGAATGCATGGAACCACTCTTCGAGCCTAGCACGGCCACAAATACCGTGTACTCCGTCCCCTCCGGCAACGACCAACTGTCTCCTGGAGCCAGTATGGACGAGGTAGTGGGTAATAGACAGGTAGGCACGTTGTCAACATGCACATCAAGCACAGCCACACCGGGGATATCAAGCAACGGCCAATCACTTGAAAAGACAAAATGAAATAAACTAAATGGAATATTGCATAGAGATACGTGACAAAACTCTTCGCTAAATTAGCATATGAAGTAACTTCCTTAGCAATGAACCCGCGATAAGTGCAACATATCCACAAAGTAAGTGGAAAAATACTACAAACGCAAAACGTTAACGAAGATAATCATACTTAGCTTAATGGACGTTTCGCAAGTCAATATAATAGACTTTGAGCCGTTGACAATTCGTAAAATAAGTACAAAGGTCAAAGTGAATACAACACATGAGGACTTTGTTCTTTTTCTCATGCTGTTTTGTCATTTTTGTCAGTTTATTGATTGCCGTTTTGATATGTAGAGTCAACGCAAAGACGGATGCAAGTGTTCCATTGTCTGGGACTACACGCCATGCCCTCAAATGTCTCCCACCAACGTAGTTCATCTTCTCCGACTCCCCAGCCCTGAAGGCGTACAGGGCCGACAGCTGCTACACTGGAATTCAGCGTTTTGACGTTTTGTCGCCATGTGGTAGGTTGGCCTCCGCGCGATTTCCTCCAGTGCGGCCTTGCGCGAGCGAATAGAGCGCGCCGTGCTAGACGCACGGACGGCATGCGTAGGACGTGACATATCCGCCTCAGTTGGCCCAGCGAGTGGGAGGCCCGTATTACCAAGGACGCGACGTCTAACATTGACGTTGATAACATGCGATTACCACCACACACGAGCTATCCTGCGCAGACAACCGTTGTCAGAGGTCGAAATCCGACGTAAGTTATTTACACGGATCGGGCACGACTCGCTTCCATGCAACAAGACCCTACGAACACAGGCATTGTAGACCCTAACCTTTACAGAGAGCGAGACGTCATGAGGCCGCCACAGATGCCTCGAATCAAGGAAAGCTGATCGGGCTTTGGTACTACGAAGAGAGATCTCCCTAGCAATGGTGGCATCAGAAAAAACGCAGCGCCAAAGGTAGATGAAAGTATATCCTTGTTCATGGTGCACGTCTTCAAGAATCAGTACGGGGCAGGTAGATGCCCATCGTGCATTAGGACCTTGCATTTCGATAGAGCGAAATTCATGCCATGCTTGGAGACTTCAATCACCAAGCAGTTTAGAACGATTTGCATGAAATGTAGGTCGTCACCAAGGAAGGCAATATCATCAGCATAGTCCAAATCAGTCGCGCGGTTGCCTGGAATAAGCTCTACACAGGCACCCTGGAGACCTTCCAAAGCGCTTAATAGGACATCCTCAATTGCGAAGTTGGAAAGAAACGGGGACATGGGACATCTCTGTCGCACATCGCTAGTGACGGCGAAAGGTGAAGAGGACTTGCCATAGGCCTTCATTATACTAGGGACATTGTTTTACATAGCACGAAGTAGGGCGGTATACTTTTCGAGAACCCATTCCTTTGCAAACGACGTCACCGAACAGAGCGGCCGACCGAGTAGAACACGGCTCGGATGTCCAAAAAGGCGACAATGTTAGGCTGGCGACAAACGTGGCGCTGCTCGAGGAGTTGGCGGAGCGTAAACATGTGATCCACACACCGTTGACCGGGGCGGAAACCAGCCTGTTCCTCACGGGCATGTAGCTCTCGAATCGGTGTTAGCCTGTGCAGTGGAATGGATGTTAACAATTTGGAGGCGATGGATATTAACGTGATTTCTTTGTGATTGGCGCGAGTTACAAGCACCCTTTTTGAATACGGGTACGATAATCGACTCGCCCCAAGAGGATGGAACCTTCTCTTCACACCAGATCTTCGAGAACAGAGCTAATAACTGCTTGTCATTCGCCTCACCACCGTACTTGAACAGCTCCGGAGGAGGTCAATCTGAGTCAGCAGCTTTGAATCGCTTCAAGTGACCAAGCTCAAGGCGGACTTCCGTTTCGGTGCGTGGTTCCAGTTACCCGTTCCAGGGCGCGCAAGTTGGCCTGCTTGTTAGACGGGAGGAAGGAGGAGGCCAACTGAACGGAGAGTGGAAGTGCTCAGCGCGGCGGTCCATGCGCCTACGCAAACTAGTGATTGGTGACCCAGCATCCTCGCAAATAGTTTCACTGACGGCAGGTCTTTTGTGGCCAGTGGTCCGAATGATCTGGAAAAGCTTACGAAAATTTCCATCGACAGCTGCTGTCTCCATCTCAGAAGCGCACTGAGACCACCAAGTTTCGCAGGCTCTGCTTGAGTTGTTGACTGAGGTTGCGCGGACTCCATCGCAGCTTGAATCAGCTGGGATATCTCGGCGACGGTCAAACAATTCCAAAGAGCGAGCGGAGATCCAGCCTCTTAGGATGCCAAGCGATTCCACAATCTGATTGGCCGGAAGTAAGCAACTTCTTCTTCAAGAAGTTCCAGTGAGGTTCGACATCTGTAGGTGGGGCACAAGCGAGCCCATCTGCTAAGGAGGATTGATAAGCCAGCTGAATGTAGGATTTAGCTATCCTATTGGTATCTAACGTACGGCGCTTTGGTTTCGAGAATCCACCAAAGCGGATGCAAATGCCCGCACAGACTAGAGTCGAGGTAGGTGGACTAAATCGATCTGTATTCCCGTACACTGCCCTGCCATGTGATTGTGACTAGATTGTATCACTAGACAAATGTAGGAATACTTTATCCTGAGATCAACTGGGGAGGACTTCTTAGCTATCTTTCTGGGATTCTGTAACCGGCTCTACGAATGATAACGGTCTTCAATAGCGAGGGTCCCCAAGGTGTACACTGTACCGGCTTCTTGTTTGATCTACATGAGGGTTATGACCTCCATTGTCGCCATCCGCGATGGAAGACGAACGATTGCTACTGGTCTGACGGTTTGAACATATGCGAGGCTATCATCAGAGATTGATGCTAGGGAATTATTGGTGAAGATAGTATTGGCGTGTGATGGAAGTGCTTCAGCGGTCATCATCTCAGGAGCGTGAGAGGACGACATAGTAGCAGTACTAGTATTTGCGAAGCAGTCAGGATACTCCCACTACCATTCAGGATGCCCGATATTAAATGGTAATCAGAAGCATTGACAAATTTTTCACGTTCCTTATCATAAAATCCATTTGAATCGGCCACTCAGTGCGCGTCTCGAAAGTTGAGTTTTTGTAAGGGACTGTGCGGAATGTCGCGGCTTACGTTATCTTTGATTTTAGGCTCCTTGTCACACTGCTTCTTACGCCTATCGGTTCACTCTGATACGGAAGCGGACGTGTCAGCCGTGCATGGCATCCATCATTCTAGAGCACGCAGTAAACACGGAATCTTTGTTGTCCACCCTAATGGATAGACATATGTGCATCAAACTGTCAACTCGGAGTCTCAACAGCACTATGCTACAGAACTCCATGCCCCATCAGGAACGAACCGGGCGCTTTCACTGGATATAAAAATGTTCAAAGACTTCATTGCGGCCCTATACGCGTTATGCAGCAGCTCTATACAACGTGCATCCAATTTTGAACTCAGTTACATGAAACTGTCCGTCACAATTCTTGCAACTTTGAGTCAGTACTCGAATCCACATGTCGCCGCGATCCGTATTTTAATCAGTGTAGCGCTTACATTTACCATACAGCGATAAGGCATAGTCATTACAAGATAGTGGGATTGTACTTTTAGCCTATTCGCTACTTTATTTTTACAAATTTGTAGATGAGGAATACTCTGAAAGATCGAGCAGGGTATTGTGGACACATCTCAAAGACCGTTTGTGTTATGCCGATCCTCTACCCGCAAACTGAAAACTATCAGAATGTTTGAAATTGATCTGTGACGAAAGTGGGGATCCATAATGTCAGTCCATCGCTGCGCCGCGGACTTTAGACGCGCAGGCACCGACGACAATATCTGCCTCGTAAGGGTGGTCGGGTCACGGGTTTCACGGCCTGCTGATGAACCTCAATGCGACCCATGAAACACATGATGCTTTTCCGGATTTGTGGCCATCAAATGGTGTAGCCCAGTAATTTGGACCCTGTTTTAACACTACACTTCGATTACCGTGGCATTTCAACTGGTTGGCTTAGGACTACCTTTGTGCGCATTCAATGCCTAAAACCAACGCACGTCTCTCCACCTGTGGAAGCAATTTTAGACTGTGCCACCGACACTGCCTATTGACTTGGTTCTGTTGTCTAGCCCTGCTGATGGCCACTTCATATTTAGTATGCAGCTCCTGCGTTATGTTCATTAACTTGTTATCTCCAAAGTTGTTCTTTTGTGCTTGTGTTCTTGTAAAAGGTGTGTTGATTATGTTCTTCGGAAGACAAAAATTATTTGGCGGTGTTTGCATGTGTGCGTATATATGTAGTTATAGCCTGTCCTCCAAATATGGCACTGGGACGACTTCCGATAAAAGAACTTCCGTCCTATATATGGGGGAACATTGGTAGATAATGGGTTAACAATACCCTTTTAATTTACGTTTTCTTATGTTGCCTCGACCATCGTCAGAGCATTTTCTCAGTAATAGTGCTTCTTTTTAAACACAGGTGCTGGACGTCGCATCACATAAACTTGCCAATCGTATGGAATCTTTCTTTTTGTCGGAGACCACAAAGTACTTATATCTTCTCTTCGACGAGGAGAACTTTCTCAACGCGCTACCCGGTGACGGCCATCCATCACACCATTATCTATCACCTTCCGGTGGTGTTTGCTCTCCGGAACTAGGTGGTTACATTTTCAACACCGAAGCCCATCCGATAGACCCAGGTTCAATACACTGTTGTCACGTTGCGAATACACTTGAAAAAGTGACCGGGGGTCATTTTCCCCCTTCGGATTCATCAGACCAACTCATTCCGGCAGAAGATATTGAAGCATTGATATCACACGAGGAGCATATGTCGCCCTTGACAGATCTTCTCGGTCTAATTGATTCCGCCCAAGCACAACAGCTCTCTGTAGATTCTACCATTGTCACCTCAAGTTCATTCGTCTCGCACACAGACCACCCTGCACCAGATGTCACTGAACCTTGGTCGGATCTCAAAGATATGGTTTTCAGCGTCATGACAAAATCACATCAAGATACACACTCTAATCACACGGCGCCGTTCACTATGTTTGATGATTTGGATTCTATTCAGCCTCCCTTATTAACCTGTCCCTATCCACCGTTTCACCGTCGATACACTTTCTCCGGTCAAATGATTGTCCCAGTTGATTAGAAACGTGATACACGCATCTGACTGTATTGTCTGAGGTAACCTGTTCCACGTGCTGTGATAGTTCGCTTTTTACTATTTTACACGATTTTGTACACTTCATACATGCGTTCAGCTTTCAACCGTGACTACACACTAGCTGCATAGACTATGATACCAACAGGGTCAAAGGTGTGCCATCGTCTATTCAGACGATTGGGGTCGTTCTCATTTTCTGTCCCACTCTAAATTCTCTTACTTTTGTTAAATCCGTGACCACCCAGCGTGGGAAAGTAATGTATTGCGCAGTTGTCATCATTAGTCGGAGTGACAGCACATTCGTACTGGTGATTCGCTACCATGCATCCATAATTGGTCAGGAGGCCGTAGGGAGGGCTAGTGTGGTACGAGAACATTAAACAATCAATTGTTCATTGGTTCTTCGACCTTGGCGATTTACTCGCAAACGTTTCACCACCATGCGAGGCGGCATCCTCAGTGCAGTGATATGTAGCGTGCAAGCTTGCAACGAAAGCTGGCATATGTTAAAATTTCGTATTGTCTCGTTAGTGCCAATACAATAACAGGAGAATATACGCATCTACAGCTTAAGGCTCCCATGGACGTAGGGGTGGTGCATATGTACCCCACCCTGTCTATATTTCCGGTCAAACCTTAGCTGTAGATGTACACATATTCCTGTTATTGTATTGGCACTGAGACTGAGACTGTATTTAAGAGCGAGTAGAAAGGTTTCTGTACAACTCTATCGAATTACGAAAAATCAAAATTTACTTGTGAATTATCAGCAGTTGTGTCTGGTCCGTTAATCGTTTATCCGTGTTCGGTTAGAAATTTGTACTAGCGTTATTATTTCCGGACATACAATGTCTTCTTTTGGCACTGTATGTGCATCGTTTCACAAAAGCACAGGTTTCCAAAATAATCGTCGATACGGGTTTTAAAACCCTTCACAGAATCGGCCTCTATTAATCCTTCTGGTAGTGTATTCCATAAGTTTACGATTCTTCGTTCGATACAAAGCTGATGTGATACTTTGTTCATGCTGGGGACCCTGAGTTTGTAACGATGTCCTCGGGTGTTACAGGGTTCTCGCAGGTGAAATATTGGCCGCAGCATGGGGAAGTGATTCAAGTGTAGTACTCGATGGGTCATAATAAGATCAATTCTTACTCGGCATAGGATAGTGTGTAGAGCCCGAGCTTTTCACAACGTTTTTCATATGGAAGCTTTCGTAGACTTGGTATCATTCTAGTTGTGATATGCTGTATTTTCTCCAGTTTTTCAGTTTCCCATTGAGTTATCGGATGGTAAGCTGGGGCACCGTATTCAAGGATTGGTCTAATGAGCGAGGTGAATAGACGAGGGACGGTTTCTTCGGACTATGTGGAGAAACTGCGTCGTAATGCCCAGAGCATACGAAGTCCCGCACGGTACAATTTCTCTGTATTTTCTAGTGATCTTAAATCATGTCGTAAGAGAACTCCTAAGTCTCTGACAGATGTGTTGGGATGGAGCAACTGGCCGTCCAAGGTGTATGATCGAGTGGCTGGACGTCTGGTGATACTGATGAACTCCGACTTGCTTGCGTTAAGAGGGAGTTGCATTTCAGTGGACCACGTTGACAGTCGCTCTAAGTCATGCTGGAAGCGAGCGCAGTCGTCCTGGTTTTCAATGATCCTCCAGATTCTCAAATCATCTGCAAACAGGACACATGGTGACTGGAGCTGCTGCGGAAGATCGTTGATATGAATAAGAAATAATGCTGGCCCAAGTACAGTTCCTTGAGGCACGCCACTGGTCGATGGGAACCATTCTGTCAGGTAGTCATTGACCTGTACTCTAAACCTTCGTCCCACAATAAACTCTTGTATCCACTGAAGTAACGTGCCACCGATTCCGTATGTCCTCAGTTTACGAAGGAGTACCTTGTGGTTCACTCTGTCAAACGCCTTACTAAAGTCGATGTACACCACGTCAACATCCTTCTGTTCGTTGTGAGCTCGAACCCACTGGTGGTTTGCGTACATCAAGTTGGTGGTGCAGGACCGCCCTTTCGTAAAGCCATGTTGCGCTGGCGTCAATACGTCCATCGATTCGAAGAACGACAGCAGACACTTTTTCACAATCTTCTCGAGAACTTTGGATAATACCGAAGTCAAACAGATCGGTCTATAGTTCTCTATTTTACTCGGATCACCACCCTTGGGAAGCGGTTTAACTATCGAGCATTTCCAGTCGTTCGGGACGGATCCTTCAGAGAGCGATCTATTGAAAAGGTTTGTCACAACTGGTGAGATGATAATCAATAGGGACTTGAGTATTAGTGGGTGAAGTCCGTCTGGCCCGGGGGGCTTTGCACCATCCAGGTTGACGAGTAGCTGATGTACTTCGACTGCATCACATTGTAGGCTGTCGAGCAAGACTTGCGCAACCTGTGCCGGTACTGGAACAACCGCCGGTTTACTGGAAAATACAGTGAGGAAGTGCGTAGCCAGGGCGTCCGCACGCTCCGCGCTTGAAATGAGTGTCTTCCCGTCTAAGCTCTCTAATACCGGCAGGTCGTCTAGAGGTTTCAGTTGACGTTTCAAGTAGGCAAATATTCGCTTGGGTGCAGTTGTGGCCGAGGATGCTAGCTCCTCTTCGAATTGCCGGCATTTCTTGATCTTTGCGGCGTTACATAAGTTACGCTGTTTCCTGTACACCGCGTAATCTTCTTCACAACCCGAGCTGATGTATCTATCCCAAAGTTTACGACGTCGTCGCGCTAACTGTCTGTATTCCCTATGAAACCAATGCGGTTTGACAGGTCCGATTTTTGGATACTTAAGGGGAACGAACCGAGTACAGAGCGAGTTAAGCTTCCCCTTTATTAATGACCACCACGCCTCAAGTGACGCATCCTGTGGTAGTGTCCAATCAGTCGGACTTGCGGCTTGGACGAGTCCGTTGAAGTCCGTCTTCCAATAGTTGAATGTCGGCTTCTGTTGATTGTAATATGGTAACGACAGTTCTAAGCTCGCCAAAATGGAGCAGTGGTCACTGTTAGCCAGAGGTTCGATGACTCTGATCTCTTTTAGCTTCTGCTCGCAGCTCGTAAACATTAGGTCCAGACAAGATGCCGAGTACGGAGTTACGCGCGTCGGTTGGATGACATGTTGCGTTGCCCCAATTTCAATAGTCATTTTAGCGAATTGAGCCTCAACGTTGCCATGACCGGGAAGAAGTCGAACATCTGGCCAAATTATCTTAGGTAAATTTAGATCCCCCATCAGTAAGAACTGAGGGCGGCTCATGTGCTTCTGTACATGTGGTATCCAATCGCAGCAACTGATGAGACAATACGAAATCCGTCACATCTAGACTCACTCAGACAGCTTTCATACGCCCGGAAAAGCACTGTACGCGTGTTTCATCCTTTCAGGAATCGTCAGCAGTGCGCATTCCATCGGACCCTGGTAGGGCTCGAGCCCATAACTCGACTATTGCCAGTCCGTGGTTGAGATCACTGAGCTACGGGGGGACGACAACGACCATTGTGTATTAGTCGCTAGATGTGATATAGCGCCACTCACTATCCACTGATTTACATGTTACTGCCGTGCAGAGGACAAGGTATCCCCTTCACCAAGCGACGGGTTTACCAAACTTAAGCCACCAATTAACTTATGGCATTATAAGCGGTTTGGTCTGCTAACTGATTACAGAGGAGCAGTAGGGGAAGTTGAATGGTATAGGTAGAAATTCGTCACATCTAGACTCACGCAGAGAGCCGTCACACGCCCGGAAAAGCACTACGCGCGTTTCATCCTTTCGGGAACCGATAGCAGTGCGCATTCCAACGGACCATGGTAGGGCTCGAACCCGTAACTCGACTATTGTCAGTCCGTGGTTGAGACCACTGAGCGGGGGACGGCGAGGCTATCGGTTCCCGAAAGGATGAAACGCGCGTAAAGTGTTTTTCCGGGAGTGTGACGGCTGTCTGAGTGTGTCTAGATGTGATGAATTTCTACCTATGCCATTCAGCTCCCCCTACTCCTCCTCTGTAAACAATACGAAATGTTAAAATCGGCCGGCTTTTGTCTTCTCACTGCATTGTTTAAGATGTATAATTTACAAAGGAAGTACGCAAATGGACCGTTTCGAAGTACAGTATCCAGATGTGGCTTCCTTAATCAATGACTCGTCTACACCACGTTGCGTCTTCAACGCTAGTACTGTTCGCACATCTGAAGTATTCTGGCCGACTAATTATCTTATCGAATAGAGGTTTAGCGCAGTGTTACTGCTTGTCTTTCTGTTAATGAAATAGGTGGAGCCTTTGGGAAAAGACTGTAAAGCTATATATATATATATATATATATATATATATATATATATATATATATATATATATATATATATATATATATGGCGGGAGAGCCTATGGTGCGCTGAAGCTGGTGGTGGCTAGATCCCGTGAAATGATCTACCCACTGCTGCGACTGTTGTGCCATTGGCTCATGTCCTGGACGCCACCTCGTGGCCACCACTGGATTGGAGTTGGGTTACGCACTTCTCCCTGCTAAGATCCAGGACACCAATCCGCATGAGTCAGTGAACTGACCATGTGCTAGACCCGCTGCCTTTCGGGTGTACATTTAATCGAAGGCTTTGGCTGAGGACGCGAGTCGTTCTCTTGTGAGGCGGGGTGCCATGCTAGTATCCTAGTCCATCTTTTTCTAAGCTTAGGAAGTGGTCGATGACATTCTTCCCGTAAAACCTAGCCATGGGAGACAACAGGTCTACGGGTTATAAGCTCACAGCTCGATTGGCATAGAGCACGAGCGCCACGCGTTGTCTCTGACGGTGGGAGGGCCCCTCCGGGTGTTCAGTGGTTTGCTACTGCCCGCCTCAAGCCAGGCAACCCCTAGTCAAATTGGTATAAACATGCCGAAATCCACCTGCGTCTGACCGTGGTCGCAGGTATATTCTATTATGCTCACAAAACCTATATGAATCGTTCCAGTACCTCACAGGCTGCGTGTGACGGATCTCAACCAGATCCTAATCTGTCTCTGCAATGACATTTCTGAGCTGGATCTGCTCCCCACTGCCTTGTGGGTCAGGCTATTAAGCCAAAAACTCCGGGTGGAGTCCCTCAAGCAAACCTCCGAAGCACAATCACCACGTCGCGTGCGATTGCCCGCCAATGCAATCGTATGTCTGCGCTCAAATCACTCAGCATCGGGTGCTGGAACGTGCGCACACTACTAGACCGGAACTCGAGTGAGCGCCACGAGTGACGCACTGCACTGGTC